AATAACGATAAAGACCCTATTTTTCTTTCCTCTAAGGCCTCGTCCACATGGAATTGCAGTTTTTTCCAAAGCAATCTGTATATTTGTTTATATAAAGTTCTTTATAGATTTGCTCACAGGATAGAAGATGAACCTAAAAGCTATACTATCACTGACCTCTATGTGATGCTGTAGAGCAGGCATTGAAATACACTAAAAATAGAAGAAGGCTTGCATCAGAGGTGGTTGTTATGACATCATCTTTTTCAAAGTTGGATGTTGTTTTAATATTTTTTTTCCACTCTGAAATCAGTTTTCCCAAAAATATTGTTCCAATAACACAACTTATGAAAAATGGAAAAAAAAAAAAAAAACTAATAAAAAATGACACTGATGGCCAGTTTCTGGTTTCAAGGTATGACACAGTTTTACAAAGTCACAGATTCATGCGCATGATGATTTTTGACTCCCACCTATTCATGGAGTTTTCTGTGTAGCTCTAAATTATTTGTGAATTTTTCAAAAAGGGAGTTAAAAGCATTTTTAGAGAGGGTGTTGAACTATACTTGGCCCACTTTGTCCCCTAAACTCTCCAAATACCCGGGTCCACTGCCTGCACCCGTTCTGTCATTTAAACTCTTTTTCATGAGATAAATAGATGGGGCTGAATTTTGTCTGGATAAGTCAGATTCTTTGATGCCAAATTGAGCAATTGAGAGCACAGAGTGAAGCAAGTAGAGTCATTAAAGAGCCCCGTGTGTAAAAGTCCTAAAACCTTCAGGAAGATTTCTTTACACACTCTGTGCTTCACACGGTGTGCATGAGAGGATAGTCGCTGTTTTACCTTTTTGTTTTTCAAAGACAAGATTGTTTTCAGGGACTTTTTAAACTGACTTTATTTCACCAATAAGCATTTACTACCACAAACATCCATCCCGTTATCTACTCAGTAGAGGAAATAGACTTAATTATTTTATGAAAGGCCTGAAAACATTTCAAAATCTCCTATATTCGGACTAAATTCTTTAAAAGAATAAAATAGAAAAACTTTACTGTCAAATGTTATCTACAACCGTTTAACTTTCTTTTTAATCTTCTGCTTGAATAACAGCAGACGTGCCTCTGTAGAAAATACAATCTCCTTTTAACTATCATATTACACCCTTTGTGCTTTCTCTGAATTCATTTTTATATGTCTTACTGATTAGACACTTCTTCCTTCAGTAGCAACTTCCACCCTGAAGAGTTTTGTGTTTTGGTGCTTCTCTGATGCCCTGTTTTCACTGAGTGTTACAATATGTGTCTGTGTGGTTCAGTAACGCTGTATAGTATAGTCTGGCATATTCAGAAGATTGTTTCCACTGCCACTTGGACTTTCTTTTGTTGGAGGGAAAGTTAAACCCAGATAATGTTGCCTCGTTCAAGTGCGACAACACACTTGACACATTAATAGGTCTTGTTCTTGTTGCGAGCTGTGATATTTCTGTCCCTCAGTCAATGGGGTGTGTTGTGCTATGCCAGTGGCTCCGTGCTAAACGTACCATTGTCCTGTGACAACTAAAGGGGGCCCAGGAACGATGGGTTGGTTGTTTGGGCCTCTTTTATTATGGAAACAGAAAAATAGCGTATTAAACTACGCCAACACATTCTGTACTACTCGGTGGAAATGAGGCATAGTTGTACTTTGTCACTAATTGTGTTAGGAGCACCATTTATGTCCAATACCTACTTGTAAATGACCTGTGCCAGTCTGAAGTTGCACACCAATTTTCTTTCATCTGTTTTAACTTAATAGAAATGGCTCACGGTGTTTGATGTCAGAGGTGAAGGGTCACCTAGTAAAAAAACAAAACAAAACAATGGTGTGTAGTGTAAGCTATTATGTGGAGCGCTGGGGAACACCCTCTCGAGTGCATAATGAGGTTGTTGGATGGAAGAGTCTTTGCGTTGGTAAATTTCAGAAAAACTTCCAGGAAAACTGACAAAAATGAGCAACAGGACAGACGAAAGCAGAGACGGGAACATCTGCAGAACTGGGTGTGGGCGTCCAGGTCAGAGGGATTATGGGTGAAAAGGTCCTGCTTTTAATTGCTGCTTTGGAACTGTGGCCTGCCTTGCGGAGTACAAAAGGCCCGTCAGACACGCTTCAGTTGCTTGGACTTCTGAATGTTTGCCCGACCAGAGGAATGCCCCGCTTTTGCCTCGACTCCCCCCCCCCATTTCAATTCAATCCCCAATCCTGACCCTCGTATTCATCACACTTTTCTTTTTCTCTGTGGCTCCCGCTCACCTGGGACACATGCATGTTTGCATTTCTTTTGCTCACAAGCACTTTCTTTTTCTTTAAACATTAAAGTTTGTTGTTGTTAATGACATTGTTGCAGGTGTTCACAGATCTGCATCACACATGTTCTAACAATTACCCCATCACACGTCAAGTAAAACAAAGAAAAAAAAATACTGAGACGTGAACTGAGATAATATCTTCATGAGCTGGACAAAAAATAAAAACGTCTCCAGTTCGGGGACGACTGGTATACGTGTATTCATGCGGGAGCGATTAGAGGACAAGCCCTCGTTTAATTCTGTTTTGATTGGTAGGGGTGTAATTGCATCGTGTTATTTTTTTCCCCCCCTCTCTCTCTCTTTTGTAAGCAATTGCTTACAGATGTTGTTTTCGGGTCAGAACGGATGACAGACTGTGGTTTTTCAGGGGGTTGGGAAGAAACAAACAAAGCACACAGTGTTTGTCTGAAGTTTACCCCTCAACACTTCCCCCTTTGCCTTCCTTCCTTTGGGAGTTGGAAAGAAATCACCGCCCCCTACTTGTTTGAGGCTCTGCAGCACTATTCTTTTTGCATTCTAGCTAACTTTACTACCTTTTAATGCTTGCATGTTTATGGAGCGCAGGACAAATAAATAGTTGAGGGAGGTAATTAACCCGTCTTTATTGTAAAGAAAATGCTTGTTAGACTAAATATTTCCACTAGTTATCCATGAATTATGGAGTCTGTCCTCTACTTTGTGCTGTATGTCCTGTACTTTGGGTAAATGAGGGGTTGTGTTGCATCACCATCCGTAATCAGAGGACCTACATGACCTAGATAGATGTGAGCTTGTAGACAGCCGTTGAGGTGCTGAACTGAGCAACATGTCTGCTAGACTTTTGGCTGAACCCCTTCTTAAACCCACAGACAGTATTAACTTGAACCACCTTTATTCTTTGAAAGAAAAATTGCCCGGCACCATGATATTCCCAACGGGGCCTTCAAACAAGCCTTGTTTTTTCAGGACTCTGAGTGTTTCTCTGTCTGTGGTATCCCCTGAAGGTTTCGCCTTTCTCTCTTTGGAAAGAGCGCTGGAGTGGGATTATCAGTGTATCCACAAGCTGCCTTTACGTTTATTCTGAGATATAAAACCTTGTCAGGATGTCCTGCCTTGCTCTCTTTATTGAGCTGTTGTTTTTTATTAAAAAAAAAAAAAAAGAAACAGTCAGGAGTTCAGCTGAAAAACAAGATGAGCTGATGTTTGGATATTTAACCAGGTTTGGTCCTGAAGCAGATCAGACTCCATCAGGTTATGGCCAAGTGAAACATGGTGTTCAACTTAGCATTTGAGTTTTAGTGAAATTTTATTAGCTGCAGTTTAAAATAGTTTACTTCGTGTCAGAAATGTGGCGGATCTATCTTAGAAAATGTAACTGAAAACAAAAAATTACTCAATAATTTTTGATTAGTTGCACCCTGTTCTGGAAAATCTTGTAACCAAAATCTTTTTAAATTCTTCTCTCAATTAGCCTGGTAAGAACCAACCCCTTGTTGTAGCTTTGCTTCATACAGACGGTCCGGACACTCGTCTGTTGACGTCTATTGACATTTTAAATTTTACCCAATAGCTTATTTTTTGGCTGTGACGTATGTGATGTGAACTTCCACGGTTGTTAATGTCAGTTTAGTATTTGGAAGCGTGGCCAGCACGGACTGAACGGCTCCTTTCACTTCTTCTTCTGCCGTTACTAAAACTACAGCCAGACTGCACTTCCAAAACTGCTTCTTTTGTTTGCTGATTTCTCCAGTTAAAATTAATCTGGACAAGTTGAGTTCAATGGGTGAAATCCCAGGCAGATCACTGAAGGGAGATGAGAATCAAGTGAACTTGGATAGAAACGCAATGGCTAGGTTAACTGTCGGTTAATCCATGAATTCCTGCTTTCTTGGATTATATTCATGACACAAAACTGTGGCCTTTTTTCACCACTCTTAAAAAAATAAAACAGAACATGCCGTTCAAGTAAGGCAGATGTGTGTTTTTCATAAATAGATCATACCTTCTTCTAAACTCAGTCATTCCTTCAGTCAGAGTAGAAATTAACAAGACAGGATGGGGAGCTCAGTTCATTTTCCCACCATACACTTTGAGGAGTATTGCGAGGGAAAATATATTTCCGAAGACTCAACAGGCTTTGTTTGAAGCATTCAGACAGGAAATCAGCAGAGAGAGAAGGGCTAAGACATGCAGCAACGGTCCAGCATCGGAAATGAAACATTGGACGGCTGCGTTGAGGACTAATGGCCTCTGTATGGGAGCCACCAGACCAGGAGAAATCAATCAGAACTCCAAGATATAGAGAGATGGGAATGGTCAAAGATCCTTCTCTCTGCATACTTTCATATCTTCAGTACTTAAAAATGTAGAGGTCACTGTAAATAATACTGATCGAAAATGTACAGATTTTAAATTACATTTAAAAACTGGTCCTTCAAATAGTCTGCTTCTATCGGTTTTATGATAATAAGAAATACCTTTAGTCTTTAGGATGGGAAAACATATCTATATTCTATATGTCAACCTAATTAAATTGGCCCTTTTTGGGTGGATGGAAATGACTGACACATGGCACATTTTGGAGAAAGACTGACGGCCAGAGGGTGTGCATGGGTGAAAGATGCTTTCAAGGAGAATTAGCACTAATTCATCTTGTTACGTTCACCTCATTACTCTAACTTCTTCTTCTTCCCCAGTTCCACCGTCTCCATGAGGTCCTGAGGAATGAACGATTGCCATGGAAACCCAGTCACAGGCCAGTTCAGCAGCTGAGAAGAAGAAGAGGGTGGAGACCATTGTGGCTACGAAGGGCTCATCGGCACGCACTGACATCAGCGAGAAGGCGGTGGCTTCCAGTACCACCTCAAACGGTACGTCTTGCCTCTGACTCTCCCTCCCATGAACTCTGCGGTTCATGTAGACCAGTGGTTAATCAGTGTTTCGGGTTTTAATCCACAAAAGAAGCTGATTCAGAGACCTTCCCCCTCCCAAGCTATACATAGTGGAAAATTGCATACATACCAGTAGCCACTCAAATGAATATAGAGTGGCAGTACGAACTTCCTAAACAGCTATTAGGCCAGAACTGGCTGAAGCAGAGTACATGTCAGCAATGGTTCTGGTGCTAGCATTTTTCAGGAAGGTGTCACTGCTAAACACAGAAGCAATTGGTGAAAAGTACTTCCTCTGGGAAAGACAAGCGAGCGAAGAGCAGGAAGTTTATAGAAACAATAGCTCTGTTGATGGCTCTATGCGTTAAAAAGACACTTATAAACAGAAAAGGAAAGAAATCCAAAGGGGCCATATTGAATGTCCGCAATAGCTTTTTATTTGACATGTTTTTTGGGGAAAAAAACTAAAATAGTAGAAAGCAGCACAAGCTCTTTTACAGAAAAAAACTTGGAGCACAGAAGAGCTTTGCTCCAAAATACTTTCTCATGTCAAATCAACACTTCAAGCAACATTTGGGAAATTTTAAAATGTATCTTTTTTTGTTTGGACTTGAGTTTTGGCTTTATCAGGTCACCACCGTAATTGAATCAGCGCATCTGAACAACGTGCCATCTGTGTTCCCCTTATGTAATGAAGACCAACACACAAAGACATGATTAAAAGGTTAACACTTGTGCAAATTCATCTACGCCTTTGTTCTGTGTCATTACGGTTCTCGTACAACATTCTTTGGTAGCAGCTTTGGCGTGCTTGTACAGTGAAGTCTTCAACACATGCCATTAAAGGGGCGCAGAGCTTCATTAAGCCTGTCGTCATTCAGCCTTTCATTTTCAAATCTTTGGCTGGAAAGAGAAGTATTAAATAGCAATTTTTTTTTGTGGAAAGCCTTGGAGGATCAAGCCAAAGTCATAACAAAACCAGGGTTGAGATCACCACATCCTAAGCTGCAGCTGTGCTCATTAGTCGGGAGAGGATTTGGAAGGTTTTTGGATATGGAGAACATGCTGCAGGAGTTGGAGCTGAAGGCTTTGACGGAGTGCTTTCTGACTCACCGCCATCATCCAATGGATGTGTGAGAGGGGGAAACAAACAGTCCGGGAAAGAGTAAATAAGTTGCTGCGACTTTGCCTCCAGATGGGACTTATCACAGGAAGTGGGTAAGGTAATGCATCCTGAAACATCCTGGGAACGCGTTCATTCTTACCCACTCCCAGATGGCCGACACAGTTTTATTCATTAATGGGGCAGCGTGGAAGAAAAGTTAGTTGCGGAAAAAGCATGGCTGCAATTTGGATATGTGATAGCGGATTTTTCTTAGTAATGTCCTTGTAATTACGGCACCTAACGACACATGTTTTGTCTTGAAAACCTAGCAAGGGGAGCCTGTTGTAGAGTGTCTTATTCCTTAAGTCTACAATAGTTTCCTAATACACTTGAGAATGGGGGAGACTCACACTCATTAGCAGAGACTGGTCCATTTTTAAAATCTTAATCTCTGTCACAGAATCATAATATTGCTTACACTTTCTTTGTGTGGTTATAATTACAGCACATTCCCAAATTCACCCCCCAGAACTCTTAACCTCTTATCAGGTGTAACCCTACACTGGCCTCCACTTTAACCCTCACAGCCCCCCCGCCCTGCTGCCTCCGTCCAAACAAAAGGTAATTGTGAGCATCTGTGGAACCCCTGCGACTGCTTTGCGTTTCCTCCCTGATCTTAGCCAAGCAGAAGCTCCTCCGGTGTGCGCAGCAGTACAAAAAGTTGCAAAATGTGGAAAAAATAACTGTGAAAAAGGCAGCTGGAGGGAGGGATTTGTAGATTGGTAGTTGGAATTGCTCTCCAGCAGATATTACTTTTCTTGGATCAGATGTTTTTGGTGCTTTTCCCTGTTTTCTTTAACTCGGTTTTGCCCAGGTTGAGTAATCGTTGAGTCCTGAAACAGAGTTCCCACATGGTTGGGTAAATGGTGGCTTCATCCTGGGTGCCATTCATCTCTTCGGCCCCCCCCTCCTCCTCTCCTACTGACAGCTCAAAAGAGCCGACCGGGCCACGACAGTGCCGTGATTGGGGCTCTTTAGGAGGGGCTGCTCTCCCCTAGAGTTCTCATCATTCAGCAGGCAGGTGGACCACAAAGTCCACTAATTCTTTGTTCAGTTCTGTTCCTTGGCAGAATAAATTCTGTCATTAGGGGGATAATTTGTGGTTTTAAAAAGTAGAGATAAGATTTGATCATTTGCAAACTTTGTAGAAAATTGTCAGGGTCTTGTTTCAGCAACATGACCTTTACATCCAATGTTATGATGGTTACAGTTGCAGCAATAAGTGTTTGTTTCATAACAATAACCCACCGACAGCATTTTGAAACAATTGCAATTTTCCGTAAGCGGTATTTGAGACATTTTAGTTGTTAGTAATCAACAGGAAACATTTAAAGAAAAGAAGTGGAAGAAACCATTCAGGAAAAGTTCAAAGGTCAGGAATAAAACCATAAACTACTCTTGTTAAGGTGTGTGCATCAGACACTTGCTGTACCACTACGACATGCGTCATCATGGGTTTCACCATTATTTTTAAAACAAAGACAAAATGTTTGTACTGTCATTAAATTTTAAACTTAATGAAATGATGCAAGCACTTAGCACAGCTAATGCAATTAGCACAGTGAGCACACTTAGCTCTGTTAGCATAACTAGCATCACTTAAGCAGGATTCTGCCTAGATCATATCACCAGAGATTTTCAAATGTTTGTTCACATTTCCAGTCCACCAAGGTGCATAACAGACAGAGGTTTAAGAAAATCTACCATCCCTCCTCAGCCTTCCTGTTATCTGCTGAACGTCCCGCTCTCTCTCACTCTATTGCAGCTTGAATGAATGGCAGACAAAAATAATCATTAAAATGGTCTAAATACAACACTTGCTCTCTTTTACAACCTTTGATTTTGCTTTAAAACGCTTTGTTGATACTGAAAATGGCTAACTTTGAATCGTCTTTCAGTAATATCAGCCACACAGAAGAGCACTGTTGCCAGAGCACCCTAGCAGCCCTTACTGTGGTGCGTTCATGAACTGGCCAGTCACTAGTGAGGGCTGTTTTTGTAATTGCAACCTGGTAGCACTTACACATGGAGTGCTCACTGATTGGCAAAAGACTGGATTTTTGCCCGGTTTGGATTTCAGGGTTAATCGAGCTTAAAGTCTTGTGATTCTTTTCCTCAGTTGATTTCTGCTTTAGATTACATGCTTTTTAATTTCTTTTTTTTTTTTGCTTTAAAAGAGCAAGAGTAAAAGTCTCAGATGCAAGCAAGTGAAGCTCTGAAGGCCATCTTGTCATAGCCTTATGTTTCCAGAGAAATCCCTGGGCCAATACATAGCATGGCTGAAGCGTTTTAAGGAGTAAAATAAGCACATGAATACATTGTAAAAAAAAAAAATCTCTTCAAAGAGGGGAGAAGAGGTACACAGAGGGGAGGGGCAGAGGGTTAGATAGAGGAAGAGTGAGGGCCCACCGTCTTTTTAGGCAGCCATTTAAATGATCAACAGTAAATAGAGGGGAATGTCATCTGACAGAAATAAAGTTCCCGTTAACAGCGGGGATGGAAAGTAATTTACAGATACGCTGTCCCCGCCATCTTTGTGCCTCCCAGATAAGGTTTCATTTCAGAAACGGATAGGAGACATTTTCACTTACGGGCCCCCATTCTGGGACACCTGTGATAACAGCTTGTGGACCCCTAATTGAAAATGGGTTTCAAAATGGATTTTCACTTTTCTTCCTCCTTCCTCTCCCCCCTCTCATCCATTCCCTCCCTCCCCTTCCTTCCCTCTCTCATGACGAACTAACCCCCTCTCTGCCCCCCTCACCCCCTCTTTTTTTTTTTTCCCTTGGCGTTGGCCGCATTGGAAGAACAGGGAGGGAGGGAGCGGAGTGCAAATGAAGCATCGGGTACAGATCATCCCTCAGCCTGTGTCACGGCGATGACGGCCCCATGATCCGTCTTATTAATGAAATCATTGATCACTTGATGGGGCTCATAATCAACTGTTTCTGCACCATGGCCTGCCTCATCTCCTCCCTCTTCACCTCTGCTCTCCACCTTTTAGTTCCTGCTGACCCTCCTTACTTTAAAAAATAGAACTAAAACTTTCAAATTTTGCAAAATTTTTTTGAATAGAAAAGCTGTTGGTTGCTTTAAGAATTTTGCCTGAAACTACTGTCATCTGTATTTGGTCTTTATTTTATGGGGGACCAGAGAGGGAGGCAAGACCCCCCTCATGTTACTCTACTATGCCTCTTGGGGCTAATGAGAGAGAACTGATGGATGGATAAAAGACCTCTTGGGAACGCCGGCTGGCCTTATGGGTCAAACAGTCCAGTAGTGGAGGTGTTATAGTGCCTGACAGTAAACCCTACACAGGAAAACAGGCTTTTATAGTCAACAGACCTGTTTATGCTGTACACCACATACTTCTTCACTGCAATGTCACCATCTCTATTCTAATGCAAACTATTTTTGAGATATATACATTGGCCTTCCTAGTATCCATCTCCATGTTAGAGCCATACATTTTAATGTGTTTTATTTTTTATGATATACCAAGGAAAAGTAGAGTTTAAACAATAAAATGATGCAAAAGGATACGTGGTGGTGCCACATCTCTCTTCAACAGAGTCAGGGAAGTAGATCGGAGTTGATAAGGAAGACCTTCTAGTTCTGCAACTTTTAGATGTCTCTCTTGTTCAAAATTAGCTCTTTAGCAGAGTTCTGTAGAGCTCGACTGCATTGCTGGTGAGGCGGTTTAGCCATTTAATTCAAGTGGTGTAGGGCAAGGGACACATCTAAAAGTTGCAGGACTCTGGCCCTCTAGGAATACAGTTTGAGACCGCTCTTCTAGAGGATACAAAATACTTGA